AGGACATTTGCACAAACCCGAAGGAGTCCCTGCGCTTTGCAAGGCTGGCTCCTTTCTGGATGCAGTATAAACGTTCCCTTCATAGAGAGGTCCTTCTTGAGCCTAGGCCCATAATACACATTTCCCTTTATGTCAGTCACTGCTTGTTTCTATTTTTTATACAACATCTATCACAAATTAGCACAGGGAACTGTATTCAATTTCTTGCAATAACATATAATGCAAAAAAATCTGAGGGGGGCAGGGTATAGCTCAAGTGGCAGAGCGCTTGCTTAGCATGCATAAGGTCCTGGGTTCAATCCCCAGTACCTCCTCTAAAAATAAATAAATCTAGTTACATCCTCCCACCAAAATAAAATAATTAAATAATATAATAATAAATTTAAAAAACATAAAGTTAAAAAAAGAACCTGAAAAGAAAATATATATGTATGTATATGTATAACTGAATCTCTGCTGTACACCTGACATTATAAATCATCTACACTTCAATAAAAAATGAAATAAAAAAACCCAAAAAAGTTATAATATACTTAACAGATATATCTCATTACTTTCATTGTGTCTGTTTCCCCCACAGCAATGCAAGCTCCATGAGAGCAGGGACGTTGTCAGTTTTCTCCAGCATCTGCCTGAGTGTCTTGCACTTAGCAGGTGCTCAACAAACATTTGGTGGGTGAATGAGTAAATCTGTGCATTGTGTAGAAACAGATTATACTTAAGGGGTTCCATGCAGATACGACAAAGGCTAAACTGGCTATTCTCTTGCAGAAATTCCATAGGAAAAAAAACCCCAAACCGTTCTATTAATAAATAGCAATAATGATGTCTCCTGCAAACTATGTCGACCCTACTTCTGCACTTTAAAAGTGAGTCGTGTTTGAAGGGCCTTTGACAGGCTGTCCTGTAACATGCTGGCCTTCATTATTATCCACATCATGGAACTTTATTGGAACAGGTGAAAAATGAATCTGCTCTGCCCAAGGTATAAAACAATTGCAGGAACGCTTTTATTTTTCTCTTCTCAGTGACAAGAAGAGGATCTCTTCTGGGAGGCATTAATTACAGAGCACTTTGGAAAATTGGTTCAGTGAAGGCTGGGAGAACTCCCCAGAGCCTTGGTCAGGGCTCTGAGAAGAGGGTGTGCCCTGGTGGCTCTCCTGGAGAAAGAGCTCCAGGCTGTTTGCACCAGAAGTTACCCTTTCGGAGTGTTAAAGCAGCTCATACACCTTATTCAAAGTCAGAGCCAAGTTCAAGAAGCGTATTTGACCTCACTGAACCTCAGCAATCCCTGGGGCCACTAACTGGGGTCCAGCCTCGTGTGTCATTGACCGAGATGATCTCCTCCTGAGGTTTTCTAACCAACATGGAACTGTGGAAACTTAAAGGCAGCCACAGGGAATCCTTAGCTGACGGCTGCTGTACAGATGTGGCCATGGCAGACGCTACCATCCCAGCTCTCCTAAATAACGGTCTCCAGGGAGACACTTAGAAATGACAGGGACACTCAGGGCATCTGTCAGGGCTGTTTTTGCTTTCATCTCTTCTGGAGAGTGGCAATGACCTCAACTCACAGTGATCTCACCCCCTTTGCACGCCTCCAATACATTTGGTCTTGACCCTGCCTTTGGGCCCAAGTGTGGACTGTCCAGCATCTAGGCTGTTTGGGGGCCGGCAGATTGTAAGCTGCTGGAGGGCAGGGTCTGCAAGGTCCCTACCCTGCTCAGTGCCAGCTTGGTGATGAGAGCTCGGTGGTGTTGAGCAGAAGGCATTGCATTGACATTATTGTAAGTCTCTCCCCGCCTCCGCCCCCGCCTCCCCCCAGACCAGCCTGTGACTCCTGGAGAGCTGGAACCACAAATTATTGTTCCATTTCTGGTGCCTGGTGTGGGGCCCCAGCCTCCAAAATGACTTTCAAACTTTGGAATGAGCCAGTTGATAGTCTTCGAATGAAGCTGCCCTCAGAGGCATGTCAGAAGTGGCGATCCCTGCTCCAGAAGAACCATTCTTTTCTTTCTCCCTTGAGAAGGAGCATTTTGGCTTACTGTGAACTTCTAGATGCCCAGAATGAAAATAAGAATGAAGCATTAGAGTCAGATGATTGCAAACAAGGAGGCCTGCTGATCTGCGTTCGAATCCTGGTCCTGCCACCTACTGGCAGCAGGCGTTGGATGTGGTACTGGCATCCATCTGGCATCTCGGCTTCCTTGTGTGTAAGATAGAAGTGGTCACAATCTCATCACGCTGGAGGGGTGTTCCACGGGGTGATGTCAGTAGAGTGTTTAGTATGATGTCTGGGACAAAATAAAGTTCCAATAAATGTTAGCTGTTGTGGTTATTTCTGCTCTAAATGGAGAAGTTCAGCCCTGGGACTGAGGTCAGCTGACAGATTTGGAGGGGAATTAAGGGTTGTCCTCGGCCTAGAGGATGCAGCAAAGACAGAGGTTGATTCCGTCCCAGGGAATCTGTTGCACGTTAACCATCGTGGTTTCCTGCCCACTGGAATCTCATTTATTCTGGAGAACCTGGCCCGTGTCCTGCAGAAGGACACCTTACGTGGACGCTGAGTATTTGACAAACGAAGGGAAGGACGATGACCAGGGAGCGTGGGCTGCTTCCGAAGGCCCCAGCGACGGTGTTCGGGGTGTATTTCACTACTCGCTGTAGTCCCCGGACTGTGCCGGACGATCATTAACCACCTTTAAATCAACCAGTGCCTGCAGCCACATAGAAATGCCCGTGTCACAGGATCTAGATCATAAATCCTGGGCTGCAGTTCAGATTGCCTGCTCTTAGGGCTTTGAATCAGGACTCATGCTTGAAACTACTATCTGCTTTTTCTGCTTTTGGCATCTCGATATGTTTGACATTTCTTAATTAACTCATGGTGTAAAAGTCCCATGGCTATCAGCGGCTCAGGGGGACGACTGTCTTTTTCTCCCAGATCCCTCGTCACCCCACCCCGGGTGAATGTTGTGTACACTGTGTGTAGCTGTCTTGTGTGACTACCCCGAAGATACTTCCTAAAATCAACACAGGCATTTTAGGTGTTGTGGAAACAGACAAGCAGAAAGGTATTTTATTTATGTAGATTTGATGTGTAGGGCGTCTAGTTGGTGCCTGTTGGTATCCTTTGATTCAGATTCACCCTTCCTTCTTTTATTCATTCCCTCCCTTCTCCTACTACCATTTCCTACTGTTTCTCAATATAGTGATTCTCGACTTCCTGGAAAGTTGAAGAATATGGTAGTCATTTAAAAAGTGTAAAATTCCAAGAGTGGAGGGTATAGCTCAAGTGGTAGAGCACATGCTTAGTATGCATGAGGTCCTGGGTTCAATCCCCAGTACCTCCTTTAAGAATAAATAAACAAGTAAACCTAGTTACCTCCCCCCACCAGAAAAATTTAAAAAAATAAATGAAAAGTGTAAAATTCCTTACCCAAAATTGTGATGTCTCTTCCAATGATTTCCGTTATTATTCATGACAAATGATTTTGTTTTTGAATTGAGAATATAGTTTATTTCCAAAACAATAGCATGAGTTCTACATCGATGTCCAAATCCTCCACCGTACAGTTGTCAATTCTGGGTCATATGTGGAAGTACGGATGGAAAGCAACTTGTTCCGGTTTTGGGGGGTTTATGGCCTTATAACACTTAAAGAGTAAAACTCCTTCACCGCTTGCTCACTGCTCTTTACTTTTTCTCCGCATCTGATCGCACTCCCATCATGCTTGCTACCTCGTGACATTTTGTGACAAGTTCAGTATCTTCGTCAGTGCGGTACCTATCTGTGAACCTTATATAATTGGGGTCCCTCACGTCATATGTGTACCTTACATAATTTCTCTAACCATGAACCTTGTTTAATTGGAAACCAGGAACCTTTGAGCTATCTAATGACATCATATGGCTTTTATTAATTTCTGCCTATTTGCTTAGTTGCCCATTTCTACGCTTATTCTAAACTTTGACGAAGAAAGGAAATGCGGAGAAGGCAGGTAACAACAGAGCTTATTCAAGCAACAAATGAAATATTAAATGAAAAGAAATGAAGTCAGTAATAAATGAAATTCCACAGACATATGAAGCCATGGTACTGAAGACTACCTCTGTCAACAGTACCAACAACAACTTCCTTTACTAAAAAGATGCGGGAAAGTCTCCTGGGCTCCGGATTGCCTCTGGGCAGGGTGCAGGTGGCGCCAGCAGACAGAAGGTGCGGGGACCCCCTGCTGTAGCGAGTGGGTAAGAAAGCAGACCCTGAGGTGACTGCCTAGCCATGGGATTTGGGGTAAGTTATCTAGGTTTGTGGGACCTCTGATCTTTCGTCTATAAAAAAAGGAGCCAAAATTATCCCCTATCTCATAGGGGAGTACTGAGCTTAAGTGAATAACTTGTGTGATACACTTCGCGCAGTGTCCAGCTCCCAGAGTCCTCAATAAAGGAAGGTTAAATGCTTTCCTAATGATTAGGACCAGTTAAAGATGGCATGGGCTTCCTGTGGGATGGGCTAGGGAGTCCCCGGCCACTCGAAGTATTTAAGGGGAGGCAACTGGCTTCTCAGAGTTTCTCCTGCTAACGAATTATCTAGGGTGAGTGCTACCATTTGAATTCTGATTTCCATAGGTTCTGGGTGGGGCCTGAGTTCTGCGTTTCTAATGAGCTCCTGGTGCTAGTGATGCTGCCAACAACCACACTCATGTGGAGGCCACTGGTCACATGTGGCTATTAAATATTTGAAATGTGGCTGAGTCCAAATTCAGATGTACTATGAGCATAAAATGCACATAAACAGTATATAAGGAAAGGACATAAAATATCACAATAATTTTTATATTGATTGCATGTTGAGGTGATGATATCTTCCATACATTAGGTTAACTCATGTATTAAAATTAATTTCACCTGTTCCTTTTTATTTATGTATTTAAGTTTTTACCATGGCTAATAAGAAATGTAAAATGACCTGTGGCTTACATTCCATTTCCACTGGGCAGCACTGAGCTGGACCATCTCCGAAGGTCCCTTCGGAGCATGTGCACCGAAAGTCTCTGGTGTCCCACATGGTCTCTAGGCTGACGTCCACTCGTGTCCAGGTGTGCGTCCCCTGGGGAACGGGTGGCCTGTCCTCCCACTGCTGAAGTCAGTGAGCGGGGCAGAGACGGAGCCCAGGGGTCTGCAGCCTCCTGATTGCCTGGGGTGGGGGTGGGGGGTGAGGAGGGACCCCGTGTGTCTCTCCACTTTTCTCTCCCTCTCAATCTCCCTCAGAGCTAACAGGCAACAAAATGCTGTGTCGCTGCAAGGGGTAACCAATTTCCACCGTGAAAATGCCATCTCTTATAACTGCCTTTCTGGAGAAAAGCCACTTCGTCTTTAATCCACAGCTCCTCACTGAACTTACCCCCCCCACAAAATAACAACGGCTGCCTGGGGAGGCTTTTCCTTTGGGAGCTGGGTGTTTGGGAACCCAGGGGGCAGAGGTCCTGGCAGTGCCCGCGGACGCAGCGCCGTCTCCTGGAAGGTCACCTAGCAGATGTGGCTCCGAGTCACCTGAGGGTCTGGTGAACTGAGACCCACCACCCTGCAAATGACGGGGCTGTCAGAGGCGGGGGGTGGACCTGTCAGGGCAGGTACTAGCTCAAGCCCCATGACTGCAGACTTTTAACATCATGTCTAACCTCTGGTTCCCACATCCAGCTGCCACTTTTCTTCTTGTTGTTGTTGCAGTGCATGGTTTTTGCAGGCATAAAAGTGAAACTGGAATTTGAAAACCACCTGCCATTGTCATCTCCACCATTTCATCTTTCCTTGTCTGTCCATAATGGCTGCTGGATACGAGGTTCTGATTTTTGCACAAGGAACAGGCTGAAAACCTTCTGACATGACTTTGCCCAGCCATCTCACTGGATGAGACGCAGCGCAGTAAGCAGCGAGGAGCTTGAATGCAGTCCTTACTCCTTTCTAGCTGGGGACCTTGGACAACTGATACAGGCGCTGTGTGCCTTGGTTTCTTTTCTGTAAGATAGTGATGGCGATAATACCCACGTCCCACCTCGGCAGAGCTCTCGTGAGAATTACTGAATTAATGTGGTCAGGGGCCGAGAAGAGTTCCCCTCTCCTGGAAGGCTGTTATTCTTGGCTAATAAATGCTCCCTGAATGGCAGCCTCTTTTTTCAGCTGGCAGATTACTTAGAAAAGCCCCCAAATTGCACACCTGGTTAAGTAAGTCAGGTCCTGCGTGGCGGTGATGTAACATACCTATTTTTGGTGGACTCAGCAATTCAGGGAGTGACCCATCTCCCTGCACTGCACCGAGGTCATTGCAATGGATTTCATCAACCAGCAGGTTTGGGAATGCACCACAAGGTTCAAGTTTTTCTGCCATCCTGCCACTCTGGACCGCTTTCACCTCAGGCAGCTCAGGTCGGGGCTGGGAGGCGGGGCAGGGCGCTTCCATGATGACATCCATGTTCACAATGATGGCATCTGAGACAGGAGGAGGGGCAGAGGACACAGTCCCTGCTTGACTCTCCAGGGATGTTTGCCACATCACCAGAGGAGTGGGAGGATTTTTGTTTGTCTGTTCAGCTTTGGGTCTGGAAAAGGGAGGCTTGTGTTTCCAGGTGTGTTTAGGACCTTTTGAAGGTTGAATGACAGCTCCCTGGGGGAACACGTGTTGTGAAGCTCCTGCTGTAGGGAGGACCACAGCGCCCAGCGGAGGGCGAGATGGTTCCTGAGCATCTTGTTGGGCACCTTTGTCTGGGAGAATTTCTTAGAAAGCCTGAACTTGCACCCCAGGGAGACATCGTCGTGGCTTTTTGCACCACTAATCCAGGTGGAGTGAAGGGCACTGGGTGAGGGCAACTCTAGCAAGAACAGAGAATCTGGAGGTTCAAACTCTCTTTGGAATGAGGCTGAGTGTTAATAAAAGTGTATAGACACACAACTAGCTTGTTCACTAACTGACCCACTGTAAATCGAGTTGCCGGCGATGGTAGTTGGGTCAAATCACATGAGGTGGATGCAAAGAGCGGAGCTTTGGGCCCGACAGGCCTGAACTAAAACCCTGCTTCACTACTATTGGCTGTGTAGTCTTGGTCAAGCCACTCAACCTCTCTGAGCCCCAGTGTATGTGTCTGCACCATGGAGGACAATGCCTACCTTGCAGGGCTGTCAGAGAAATAGACAGCAGGCAGCCCCAGACCTCCTGAACCGCCTGGTGCAGATCCAGGCCCTGCTGGCCCCACGTGGCCCTCAGCTCACTGGTTGCTTCTGATCTTCCAGGTTCAGCTTAAAGGTCACCTCCTCAGAGAGGTCTTCCCTGATCACCCATGGAGAGCACCCTGCCTGCTCCTCCCACTTCCTGTTACTTTCCATTGCTTCCCCTGGTTTGTTTCCTTCTCAGCTTGAGACACAGTCTGCAATTTTCTTGTTTGTTTGTGTTTGCTGATTGTTCTTTTTTGCTTATTGATCACTGGCTGTCTCTGGCCATGTGACTGAGGTCACCGAAGGCAGGGGCTTGATCTGTGTGTGTTGGGACTGCTTTGATCAGTGCCCGGCTCAGAGCAGATGGCTGGGGTCTTTGACCAAAGATCCTTGTATCCAGGGCGAGCTTCTGAGACTTGTTAGACCTTGTTTTGTTCTGCATCCGTGATACCGGGAGCCACTTCAAAGGGTTGTGAGGTAATAAGGATGCACGGAGATACAGTGTGGGTTTCACTGAGGACAGGAAGTGAGTGACACAGAGCAGAAATCAGTAGTATGAGATGATATCATGAGATGGCGTGCAGAGTAATCAGTGCCCCCAAACAACAAACATTTTTATTCTTTTCCCCTTTGCTCTTTTCTTCTGAGTTTGTACCTCTTACTTGCAGATACAAGTCATACAGAACACAAACTTTGGGATAATAGATGTAACTCTGAGAAATGAGAAAAGAGAAAATTTTGATTTCTCAACTTACAAAACCTGTGATTTCATTTATAATGTCAGAGGAAGGGTCCAGTGGGTGAATTCACCCATTAACGTGGAAACTGACCGAAGGAGTCAGTCTAGACGGGGAAGTAGCACCTTTGGATTTACTGGTATATTCCATCAGAAAAACAACACAACCCTTGTCCTCTGTAAGTTTATATAAGGACATTTCTTCATGAAATCATCTCCCTTAAAGAGAATTGATCTCCTCATCAGAAAGAACTATGGAACAGAGTGGATTTCTCTTTTTACCTTGAGTGGCAGGAAGCTCAAGGTTAATTTCAACACGCAATCATGATATTAACTCTCAGTTGATACTTCTACTTATTTCGGTGTTTTGAAAAGAAGCAGGACTTAAGTAAATAAATGCATTTTGTAAGTGTGATTTGCTTACTAAAACCCTGTGTCTGAGTTTTCTGGGATGGACAAACTGCACTGACACTTCCTAATTTTTGCCACGGCATTTGTTGAAACGTCTCTGTGACCTGAGCTTGGCTCTCTTCCCTTGTTCTGGTCCGTAATTTCCTCAGCTGTTAAAAGAGGCGTCTAGACTGAGAAGGCTTGTTCTGGGCACTTATAGATTGAAAACGCTTTCATTCTTTCTATGTTCTAATGAGCAGTGAAGCCCTCTCTTCTCTGTTCCGCTGTGTCTCAATGCTGTGAAGCAGGGATTCTTTTCAAACTTTCTTTTTAAAGCTACATTGTCTTTTGTCCAAAATAAAACTGATGGGGAGTCCAAGTACACGCAACACATCACAGCAGAGCTCTTGCGGTTGAAGTGAGGGGTGGGGTTATGGGCCAAGAATTCCACCTCCCTCCCCTCCCTCTTACAGACCCCAGGGCACCTCAGAGGCATCCCCAGACTTCCAGGGAGCACCGTCTGAAACCACAGTATTACAGGATTGCTGGACACAAGCAGAATGGAATTCGCTTTCTAAAATCTACCTGGTTTAAACCACACCTGGATTGTAAGCTTCTCGAGGGCCAGCAGGATCTGGCACCTGTTGAAAACACAGGTGTGTGTTACTCAGTGAATGAATGAGTCCAGCAGTCTGTTCTCGGTTCAGATATCCTGCGAGGCTTTGCAGGTCCTGGAAGCATCTCTCTGCAGCCCTTCAGCATCTTGTAAGACCACAGAGTCCCCGACGGCTCGGGGAATATAGAGCGTGTGCTTTTATGGCCTTTGTATCAGAATGATTTGTGACTTCTCAGGTGGAACAACCAGTGACATAATTAACATTTCAAAACTCTGCAACCACAAATTTACTTTCTTTTGAATATTTGGGGCCATTTAAACAGTAGCTTCGGTATTAAATTTGTACTTTATGGGATCTGGGGAGGAGGGACATGGGGTAGGGGGGAGCAGGAGGGAAGAATTTCCCAAACCTGTATGAAAAAGGATGGAAAACATTGGTGAGTTTTTTGCTTAAAAAAAACCCAAAACTGTTTTTTTCTCTTCAATTGAAATACTGCTTTAAAGCATTGGCAGGCTTACAGAAGTGAAATGAAAAACAAATCCCACAAAAATCCTGGAGTACCATAAAAATAATGAATAAAGTAGTGCAAAATGCTTTGATTTTAGTAATGTTTTTCAGTAAAGCTGGTACATTCCAAACAGATTGTATTTATCTCAAAGGAGGCCCTCTGCACTGTGGCTTAAAGGTTTATAACAAATTTCGTGGTCTTGCTTGGGATATGATAATAAGGACTCACATAGTAAAACAAAAAAACAAAAAACAAAAAAACATAGCTTTGAAAGTGGGCTGACCGGGTTCAAATCCCTCTTCCCCTTTATGTTACCTGGGCCTCTTTCAGTAAATGGCCATCCTGTCTCGGTTGAGTTTCCTTACGTGAAAAAATCCGAAGAACAATGCCTGTCTCAATGGGAAGTTACATGTGGGAATGGGAATAAAAGTAAAAGCTGCTGGCGGGGTTTGTGGGCACTGGGACTGAGTTTGTCTGGGTAAAGATGGTGATTCTGTATTTGTGTCCAGAGCGCTGCACGTTGTCTATAGTATCACACAAAGCTCCGATTCCAAAGGTGCAAGAAACTATAGCTGTGTCCTTGTTTTGTTTTTAGTTTCCATGGCTTTTTTTCTGGTTATAAAATTAGTATATATTTACCGGAGAAAGCTTGAAAATTAAAGATGGATGTTAAGGAGGAAAAGAAATCACCCACAATGCAGTTTGGTGCAGCCATTGTGGAAAACAGTATGGAGATTCCTCAAAAGACTAGGAATAGACTTACCCTATGACCCAGGAATCCCACTCCTGGGTATAAGTCCAGAAGGAACCCTTCTTCAAAAAGACACCTGCACCCCAATGTTCATAGCAGCACTATTTACAATACCCAAGACATGGAGACAGCCTAAATGTCCATCAACAGATGACTGGATAAAGAAGAGGTGGTATATTTATACAATGGAATACTATTCAGCCATAAAAATGACAACATAACACCATTTGCAGCGACTAAGTGAAGTAAGCCAGAAAGAGAAAGAAAAATACCATATGAGATCGCTTATATATGGAATCTAAAAAGAAAGAAAAGAAAAAAAAAAGAAAGGAAAAAGACAAATGAACATAAATACAAAGCAGAAACAGATTCATAGTCATGGAATACAAACTTGTGGTTGCCAGGGGGGAGGGGGGTTGAAGGGGACAGACTGGGAGTTTGAAATTTGTAGATACTGACAGATATATATTGAATACATAAACAAGATTACACTGTATAGCACAGGGAAATATATACAAGATTTTGTGGTAGCTCACAGAGAAAAAGAATGTGACAATGAATATATGTATGTTCATGTATAACTGAAAAATTATGCTCTACACTGGAAATTGACACAACATTGTAAACTGGCTATAACTAAATAAAATAAAATTTAAAAAAAAAAACCCACAAGCCCAATAAAATATTGGTGTGTTTTTCTGTGTATAGAAATACAATTTTTCTTTGGTTAATTTCTATTTTTTGGCAAGAAAACTGTTTTATTCATTGAGATTTTCAAATAAATTAGAATATGCTTTAACATACTTTTCTTCCCTTATAATTTCTTAGAAGACTGCATTTATTAGTACAAGAGTAATTAATAAGTGCGTATTGTTAAATACTTAGAAGTGAAGGCACAAGAAGAAATAAGTATATTAACTATGACCCAAGTCACAGAGATAGTCACTGTTGACATTTAGTTGTATATATCTTTCTTTTTTCAATTATATATATATAACATTTTGTATGTAATATATATAAATTTTTCTTTCTAGTTTTATTGAGATCTAATTCATACATAAAATTGTATAAATTTAAGGTGTATAATATAATGATTTGATATAGTATATATTGTGAAATGATTATCACAATGAGTTTAATCACCTCATGTAGTCACAAATTTTTTTCTGGTAGTGAGATATATAAATTTAAATTTTAAAATTTAAATGGGAAACTTCTTGAATGATCACTATTGTCGACTACTTTCTTTTGACAAATATTGCATATAGAATCCTTCCTACATCATTAACTTTTCTTATATGTCATAAGTTTTAATAGTTGATATTATTTCATTGTTGTATATCATAGTTTATTAATTCCATGTTATTAGATTGATTTCAGTATTTTATTATCATAGGCAATTTTGCAGTAAACTTCTTAATAGCTGAATTTATGCTATATCTACGATAAGTTTTTTAAAATAAATTTCTGGACATGAAATTTCTAGCGGACTTACATGTACATTTTCAGGTCTTTTGTCAACTTGCCCTCCAGTAAGTCTATACTGATTTCTACTGCCACTAGTATTACATAAAATTACCTGCTTCCTTATACCCTTAGGGTTATGATACTAGTAATATTATCAAAAAGAGAAAAACTTTGTTAATTTGTCAAAAGTTATCATACTTGATTATAACTTACATCTATTATTTTATGCATTATCTTCTGTATCTTTTGTATATTTTTATTTTTCACACCAGTTTAATTTGTAAAACAACATAAAGAAAATGAATAAAATACATTAAGAGTACAGATAGATTAGTTTTGACAATTGTACATACACATCTGTGTAAACACCTAGATGAAGATGTAAAAATTTTTTAACACTCCAGAATAGAATACAACCTCCATTGATCTATTTGTTTATTCTTGTGGTAATGCCACATTCAAAAAAACATCATGTACCTTGGAATAAATCTTAAAAAAGATGTGCAAGATCTCTTCTCTGAAAAACGCAACACATTATTTAAATAAAGAAGACCTAAGTAAATAGAAAGATATACTATGTTCATGGATTGAAACACTCTATATTGTAAAGATGTTGATTCTCCTAAAGTTCATCTATAGATTAAATGACATCCCAAAGAAATTGTAGAAAACTTCCCCCGCCCCCGTGGAATCAACAAGCTGATTTCTAAAACTGATATGGAAATTCAAAGGCCAAGAAAAGCCAAGGCAATCCTGAAAAAGAAATGCAAAAGTGAAGGACTCATACTACTAGATATCAAGATGTTATGAGAGTAATTACAAAAAGGAGTAGACTATGTAAAAGACTTGAACAGACATTTCAAAAAGTGGATATTAAAATGGCCAGTGAACATATAAAAAGATCCTAAACTTTATTAGTCATAGAGGAAACACAAATTAAAACCACAATGTGATACCATTATATACTTGCAAGAATGACTAAAATTAATGCAGGCATATCAAGGGTTGGAAGGACGTGGCACAACCAGAACCCTCATCTACTGCTGACAGGAATATTAATTGGCCAGTCACTTTAGAAAACAGTTTGGCCATTTCCATTTAATTTAAACATATGCCTACCTATAATGCAACAATTCTACTTGTAGGTACATACCCAGCTGAAATGCATACATATATTCACCAAAAGACAATTAACATTCATTAATGAGAAGTCCACCCAGCAGTCGAATGGATGAATTGCAGGATATTCATGCAATGGAGTACCATACGGCAATGAGAGTGAACAAACCACAATTACAAGCAAAACATAATAGTCAACCAAAAAAGCCAGACCCAAAAGACTGCACACTGAATGATTCCACTGATACATACAAAATTCTGAAAAGACTAAACTAACCTATGGTCTTAGCAGTCAGGAGACCAATTACACTTTGGGGTCTGGAGTGGCTGTCGGTGCATGATGGCGCTCTGAGCTAATGGTCATGTTCTGATCTTAACTAGGTGCTTATTATATGAGTGTTTCCTTTTTGAAAATTCATCGAGCTGTATATTTACGATTTATGTACTTTAAATTTTGTACATTATTTCTTACTTTTTCTTTTCCCAAGGGGGAAACAAACCTCAATGGGAGTGCTGTGCAATCTTTTTGCTTTGGATTGCTGAGGAGCATTTTGAAGCCAGACAGGTTTATGTTTCTTGGGTGGGGTCATAGAATTCTCCCTAACCTAAAACTAGAACATAAGTACCAGAATATTTCTATATGTTGGCTATATTAATTAATATTGCCTGCTCTCCAGGTAGCCCTTTGTATCTCAAGACTTATCTCTTCTCCTTCTGTTTCTTCAGTTTTATAAGATTTTCTTCCATTGCTTGTTAGATTGCTGTATCTTCCGTCTCTTTGGCTATCTACATTGACAGTCCTGATAAGTGATAATTGAATCTATTGAATCATTTAAAAATTCTTTCCTTTTAAAATGTTCATCTCTTTATTCTGGGAAAATTTCTTGACCTTATTTTGTATTCCATTGACTTAAAATTTAAAAAGTATTCTAATGCTACTACTTGTGGCTTTCAATTCAGCAACTGCACTTTCCAACATTTAATAGAATTTCCTGATCTCTCGTGTTCTTTTTAAATTATCACTTGCTATTGATACAATATTGAGAATATAGATTAGATAATTCTTAAAATTTTCTCCTGATTCTTGCAGTACCTGTTTCTTATGAGAGTATTTTCTCTGATTCCTCAGAGTGGTCCTCTGTTTTTGCACATCAGAACCTTTCCTCTTCTAGTTTCTTTCTCCATCTGCACATCCTGACAGAGATGCTCAGAAATGGGAACCAAGATAGGGTCTGTTATTCCACACATCTTTCCTGTGTACATGCTATTTGCCAGTCCATCCCCTAGGTCCAGAAGATAGAACTCTCTAGAAGAACTCTCTGGAAGCCATTTCTGTTCCATGTTCTTATACTCTAACAGGGAATATTGAACACGTGATTACACGGATGGTGCATGTTGCACAGATGAAGAGCAGGATCTTACAAGAAAGAAATTTAACCTAGTCTTGGCGATTGGTACCAGGGGTCTTCTGGAAAGACTCCCTAAGGAAGTGATGGTTTAGGCTAAGATTCAAAAATAAGTGGCAGTTAAAGAGAGGGCAAAGTAAAGGACTCCTGTGTACAAAGGTGCTGAATGGCTGGTGTGGTTTCTCTAGCTATGCTATTTTTTTTTATCCTTTCTACATTTAATGTGTATGAGTGCATCACACGTATACACGCCCATGTGGGCAATGCATGGGATAGGATGCTGTCTTGAACCTGAAAATATTAGCTATGTCTGGGATCACAAGCAAAATTTGAAATCCTTTCCCATCATCAGTGATTGAAGACCCCATATAACAGTGGCTAGAACTCCAGCTCCTCTCTAAAACCACGGGGGTCTGGGGACTCTGACACCTTGACAGATGTCTTCCTCCAGCATTGGCCTGTTTGCTGTGAGGGCACAGACTCTTTCTCTTGGGTGATCTGCTTGAGGGTGGAGATTTCAGTGTGTGCAAATGTGCAAAATGCAGTGAACACTTGGGAGTAAGTTTTGTGACTGAGTTAGTCACACAGCTTAGCCACATTATCGGTTAAGTAGGACACTGTGGGCTGGCCTGGAAGCTTTAAAGCCATAAACAATATTATATTTCTTTTGGAAGATAGATTATGTGGTCCAGACAAACCTTGGGAAGCCAGCACACTTGGGACCTGGACATTTCCTGTAAAGCAGGAATATTTTCACACTGAAAATCTTATTTTCATGTATGATGTGAAAGACTATACACAAAAATAGGATAAGAGGATGAGGGCATTGATTTTGCTCCCACTGTTTTCTGGACAGATGGTGCTAAACTATGTCTAGAATTCAAATATAACAAAATTCGCCTGACATTGAGACGTTATCACGTCTTCCGTTTCTTTAAGCCTCTTTTAGGACAGAGAAGCTTTCCAGTCTCCTGAGCCAGATCTTCCTGTGTCCATGGGAACTACCTCACTTTTGG